TAAAACCGATCACAAAGAATCAATCTCTTAGTCCAAACAAAACCACATGTTTTACACGAGTATATTTCAAACCACACACGAAGAACAATACTGGCGAATAGTTTATACGCTTCTTCTGCCTCTTGCGTTTTCTCAAACCATTTCAGTTCACGTCCAAAGGTTTAAAATGTGTAAAGTCAACTATCAGAGCTTTTCATCACTACCGTTTGTTCACCGGGGTTAACCTCACATCCCAGCTTTCCCAACTAAGACAAACACGACACTCTCTTTGGTTGAGGTCATTATTTTCCGAGGAGTCACGCAATCTCAAGATGGCAATCTCAAAATTTCAAGATGGCAGCTGTTGGTGCCAGCCGCTAAGGAATCGGTAACGTGCGTGGCAAGCAGTTAAAAGGGGGAAAGGAAACGCCTATACCCGGGAAAAGGAACCAGACGTCATGATGGTGGGCTGGAAAGAGTGAAGAGCCACAACAGTTTGGCGGGTCAGATACCGTACGAATCAATGTCGCATGATATAAGCAGACCAGTGAAACAGCTACGATCACACTGATTGTTAGTGCATAGTATAGCATCAATAATCAGAACCACCTAAAAATGTGGCTTTTCTATTGGACAGTATTATGCGGACGTTTCATTGTGACATATTGAGGAGCAAATTCTGAATAAATTTCTATAAAATTTATAACTTTGAGGACACAATTGGGGAAAAAAATAATTTAACATGACCTGTGCTTTCCTATAACCTTTAAACAAAAAGAAGCACAAAGCTCAATTTCAAGCCTTAAGCAAACGAATTCTAAATATCAAAGTTTTAAAAATTGTTATGTTGAGAATGCTGGCAAACAAGTGGGATCATATGGTATGATTTGCATTTTATTTCATTCATAAGCAGCCTTCTGTATGTTTACTCCTAGCCGTGCTTACTGCTCAAAGGCTGGTGAGACTAAGCAAATGACTGAGGCAAATAATTTAATAATAAGCCTGGTTTTTGGGACTTCCAGAGAGTCTCAATCTGAGGGCTCAGTAAGTGTTAGCTGCAGTGGCAGATCCAGACCTTCAGATAAGGGGGGTTGGGGCGGTCATCCAGACCATGGGATAAGGGGGAGGGCCAGTCTCCAAAAAATTTTTTTCGGCCCTTCGGGCCTCAATTTGGTCTCAATTGCATAATATTACTCTGAGTTATTCGAAGCCAGATTAGTCTGTATCAAGGATATCAAAGTCCCGGGTAGGAGTGTAGCCAGCTTTTCCACATATCCTGAAAATTGCACGCGCGACTAGTATGCACTGACCACCACAACACTTTGAGCTCTTAAGCTTTTTAGCTCACAACAACCCATAATTTATTAAAAGCGGTAGAGTGATCAAACCAAAAATTTGTAGGCCTGCGCCTACAGGTCTATGGGCTGGCTTGGCCCCTGCCGGATCCCGCATTACTTACGCAAATAAAACAGTTGAGTGTTTGACTTGAAATCCAAAGTTTGTTAGTGTGTGATTTTCAGAATTGGTATGAGCAAGTAGGCAGTATTGCTTGCATTTCATTAAAGCTGGTTTTGTTTGCACCCTCAGAGAGGTTGAAAAGTTGATCATAATTATGTCTAAAAATAAAGTCCAATAATAAATAATATCATTGTTACAAAAATAATAATAAGTTTAAAGACCCCACCTGGCAAATGGTCAAATTAAGCACTGACATTGGCTCACAGCCCTGAATATTAATATTATAACACTGACTATTCAGTTGCCTCTGGTAATGACCTGGCTTTTGTCACACCATGAAGGATTTTGTGAGTGATATCAGAAAACATTTACCTCACCTTTGATGATTTTAGAGATCACTAAAAACTTACCCAGAAGTTATTTAAAGAATATAAACCATCTTATCATTACCCTATCTACTTAGCCAATAATGATGCAACTACAACCTTAATTCTTGGCCTTTCTAACAGTTGTTATATATTACCTTCTAAGTCCTTGCTTTTTTTGCACACATTTAGGGATCTGTGGCATGAAACCCCGCTGAGCCTGGAGGTAAAAAACAGTTTGTACAGTTATTATAAAAAAGTGACCGATTCAAACTGCAAACCATTTGGGGTGGGGGGGGGGGGGCGGGGGCACGGGCGGGATTACCTCCAAAGGGTTTTTTCTCTCTTTAAAAGAGGTTTGGCACATCAAAACAACTACCTGTAAAAATAGTGACCTTCACCATTTATGATTCTTCGCAATAGCCCTTTTTTCTGTACACACTTTCATTCCTAAAATGGGTCGAGGGGTGTGGGCAGGATAGAGGAGTGGGCGTGGCAGGAAAATGAAGTGAGTGGGGGTGGGCGGGGAGGGGGGGCGGGGGGGGGGGGGGTGGGGGGGGGGGGGGGGGGGGGGGGGGGGAGAGGGTTGGTATATCTGCCAAGGGTTTTTTCACTCATTGTAAGAGGGTTAGCACATTAAACACACTACCTGTAAAATTAGTGACCCTCATCCTTTATGGTTCTGTACATAAGGCACATTTTCTGTCAAGAATTAGATACCCTAAAAAGCTACACTTAACTTTTGAAAAATGCATTGTGTTCACCTTAAGTGGTGGCAGTGAGTAGGGATCTCATAAATACTTCATTAACTTTTACAACAATAACATTTGAACGTCCAGTTAGTTTCCACCCCAGGAGTGAAGCTCCAGTTACTCAAAAGGGGTGGTCACTAACTTTACACAGTGAAAGTTAAGTTGATCTCAGAACATTATAATCAAAAATTATCTATTTTGCAGGAGGCGGATTGTTCAGACCTGTCTGGAGGAACCCAGGAAACAAGGTAAAAAATTCCATGTGCTCTTCGATAGATGAAAGTGCTGCACATAGAGCTTAGTCTTTGGCCAGAGCATGATGACTCTTTGCCCATGCACTTTGCAGTCCAGTTTTAGAGCTCCATATTTACTTGAATAAGAAATAAAAATATTTTTTGACTTCTTAGTATGGCACTTATTTTAGGGCAACACTAGGTGGAGGACAAGGCTTGTACAAATTTTTGTCATTAGCAAGTAAAACAGGACTTTCAAAAAGCAAAAAATTGTTGCTAGAAGGGTTAGATGCTCATTCAAGACAGCGTTGACTACCAATATTGGTCTAACTTGAAATGCTTATATGGAGGCAGCACTTACTTGAGGGCAGAGCTTATTTGAATAAATGGGTACTCTACTAATACTTGTATGATGTGATTGTTGGAAAGTGGTACACTAAACATTGTGTGTAATAAGACCTCTGCATTACAAAATAACATTATGTTATGGCAAAAAATAATAAGAACTGCTTGCCATGTAACATCCTCAATTTTTAAGAAAAAGAAAATCTTTACGACCTTCAAGGGAAGTCCTTCTACATGCATTAAACTGTCATTATATCAAGCACACTACAATAAAGATACATCTTGTTAAACTGTTACTTTAAGTTGATTACAGTCCATCGATCTGTTGGGTGAAGCACTGAGTCCCTGTTGTGGACTCATGGACAACTAACATCCCAGTAGATGTTGATTCTTTAATAGAGGTAAAAAAAACCCAGTTCCTTTTATCATCTATACAGTCTGACGCCTTCCCTCCCTGTCCTCCTTTTTAACATTATTTTTTATGAAAAAAAAAATATACAAAAAATTAATATATTCCTGTTGTAACAAATTGAATGTTGTCTTTTAAGACCATTTGTGTGACATAAATTCAGAGACGGAAGGTCACTGTTCTGAAGAAAATAATAAAATTATGTTTTTCAGGCATACTATCTGGAATAATCCAGAGATAATGCATCCTATTCCAGAACATATGATCAATCGAATGCAACCTAAAAAATGTTTAATGTTTAAAATTCATGTGCTGTGCGTAAATTTAGCAAAGTGACTGGGATTCATTGTTTGTGCACAATATTGTCACTTGCAGCTTACTGGTAGTGTGCGAGAAGTTTGGTCAGCGTTGTTTTGGGAATTAATTTCGCCCGCAAAAGCATTTTAAAGAAAACATTGTAGCAATTTGGACCAGTAGTTTCAAAATAAGAGAGAAAATTGAAATAATAATAATAAAAAAACATTTTGTCAGTACATCTCCCCGATAAGTTTGCTTAGGTCGCAGGTTATGCATGTTACATGATGTTTGTCAGAAGTGCATTTCAGTTCGGCTCTTTTACTGTCAAAACCTTACTTTCTTCTGGCAATCTACCTTTGAATTCATGTTACACCGAGATAAAATCAACAATCAGTTACATGGGGTCAATTGCAGGAATGGCTCCAAGTTTTTCTTTAGTATACCGCTGACCAAATGCTACTACAAAACAATATAAAAACCACAAACAGGCCACCCATAGCCATCCACAGCCATCTATAGCGGACCATAGCAACACATAGCTACACATAACCAAACATAGTGGCACATAGCAAATCATAACCACACATAGCTGCACATACAGTAAAAACCCGCGAGTAAGAACCTGAAAATTAAGAACCTGTTAGCCTAAAATTTGCCATTTATACCCCCTATAAACAACAACCTGTTTAGCCTAGAAATTAAACAGGTTCTTATTTTTTAAATCATATAAGTGAAATGCAGCTGCAAAGCTGCAGTGCAAGAATCCTGTTTAGAGAATTAGGAGATTGGCATTGCTGTGCAAATAAAAGTGCTAATTTAATTATTGATGTAATAAAAAAATAAAGTGCGAGAGGTTAATATTGTTGTATCAAATTTTTAAATTGAAAAATAGGCTGATTACCATCTTGTTTTGTAGCTTGATTTTTTACTGAAATAAGAACCTATTTAAGAACCTAAATAGCCTCAAATTGTGTTAACTACCATTTAAATAAGAACCTGTTTAGGCTTACTCCAGAAAATGTAGGTTCTTACTTCCTGGTTTTTACTGTAGCTACACATAGTCACCCATAGCTACACATAACAATCCATAGCTACACATAGCTACACATAACCACACATAGCCACCCATAGCTACACATAGCCACACATTGTCAGCCATAGCAACCCATAGCCACACATAGCCACCCATAGCTACACATAGCCACCCATAGCTACACATAGCAACCCATAGCTACACATAGCCACACATAGTCACCCATAGCCTCCCATAGCCACACATAGCCACACATAGCCAACCTTAGCTACACATAGCTACACATAGCCATCCATAGCTACACACAGCTTAACATAGCAACCCATAGCTACACATAGCCACACATAGTCACACATAGCTACACATAGCCACCCATAGCCACCCATAGCTACACATAGCCACCCATAGCTACACATAGCTACACATAGTCACCCATAGCCACCCATAGCCACACATAGCTACCCATAGCTACACATAGCCACCCATAGCCACACAGAGCTACAAATAGCTACTCATAGCTACACATAACCACACATAGCCACACACAGCTACCCATAGCTACACATAACCATACATAGCCACACACAGTTACACATAGCTTCTCATAACCACACATAGCTACACATAGCTACACATGCCAACACTTAGCTACACATAACCACACATAGCCACACACAGCTACCCATAGCTACACATAACCACACATAGCCACACACAGCTACCCATAGCTACATATAGCCACACACAGCTACTCATAGCTACATATGGCCACACACAGCCACACTTAGCTACACATAACCACACATAGCCACACACAGCTACCCATAGCTACACATAACCACACATAGCCACACACAGCTACCCATAGCTACATATAGCCACACACAGCTACCCATAGCTACATATGGCCACACACAGCTACACATAGCTACACATAACCACACATAGCCACACACAGCTACCCATAGCTACATATAGCCACACACAGCTACACATAGCTACACATAACCACACATAGCCACACACAGCTACCCATAGCTACACATAACCACACATAGCCACACACAGCTACCCATAGCTACACATAGCCACACACAGCTACCCATAGCTACATATGGCCACACACAGCTACACATAGCTACACATAACCACACATAGCCACACACAGCTACCCATAGCTACACATAACCACACATAGCCACACACAGCTACCCATAGCTACATATAGCCACACACAGCTACCCATAGCTACATATGGCCACACACAGCTACACATAGCTACACATAACCACACATAGCCACACACAGCTACCCATAGCTACACATAACCACACATAGCCACACACAGCTACCCATAGCTACATATAGCCACACACAGCTACCCATAGCTACATATGGCCACACACAGCTACACATAGCTACACATAACCACACATAGCCACACACAGCTACCCATAGCTACATATAGCCACACACAGCTACACATAGCTACACATAACCACACATAGCCACACACAGCTACCCATAGCTACACATAGCCACACACAGCTACACATAGCTACACATAACCACACATAGCTACACACAGCTACCCATAGCTACACATAACCACACATAGCTACACACAGCTACACATAGCTACACATAACCACACATAGCTACACACAGCTACCCATAGCTACACATAACCACACATAGCTACACACAGCTACACATAGCTACACATAACCACACATAGCTACACACAGCTACCCATAGCTACACATAACCACACATAGCTACACACAGCTACACATAGCTACACATAACCACACATAGCTACACACAGCTACCCATAGCTACACATAACCACACATAGCTACACACAGCTACACATAGCTACACATAACCACACATAGCTACACACAGCTACCCATAGCTACACATAACCACACATAGCTACACACAGCTACACATAGCTACACATAACCACACATAGCTACACACAGCTACCCATAGCTACACATAACCACACATAGCTACACACAGCTACACATAGCTACACATAACCACACATAGCTACACACAGCTACCCATAGCTACACATAACCACACATAGCTACACACAGCTACCCATAGCTACACATAACCACACATAGCTACACACAGCTACACATAGCTACACATAACCACACATAGCTACACACAGCTACCCATAGCTACACATAACCACACATAGCTACACACAGCTACACATAGCTACACATAACCACACATAGCTACACACAGCTACCCATAGCTACACATAACCACACATAGCTACACATAGCTACACATAGCTACACATAACCACACATAGCTACACATAGCCACACATAGCTACACATAACCACACATAGCTACACACAGCTACCCATAGCTACACATAACCACACATAGCTACACACAGCTACCCATAGCTACACATAACCACACATAGCTACACACAGCTACCCATAGCTACACATAACCACACATAGCTACACACAGCTACCCATAGCTACACATAACCACACATAGCTACACACAGCTACCCATAGCTACACATAACCACACATAGCTACACACAGCTACCCATAGCTACACATAACCACACATAGCTACACACAGCTACCCATAGCTACACATAACCACACATAGCTACACACAGCTACCCATAGCTACACATAACCACACATAGCTACACACAGCTACCCATAGCTACACATAACCACACATAGCTACACACAGCTACCCATAGCTACACATAACCACACATAGCTACACACAGCTACCCATAGCTACACATAACCACACATAGCTACACACAGCTACCCATAGCTACACATAACCACACATAGCTACACACAGCTACCCATAGCTACACATAACCACACATAGCTACACACAGCTACCCATAGCTACACATAACCACACATAGCTACACACAGCTACCCATAGCTACACATAACCACACATAGCTACACACAGCTACCCATAGCTACACATAACCACACATAGCTACACACAGCTACCCATAGCTACACATAACCACACATAGCTACACACAGCTACACATAGCTACACATAACCACACATAGCTACACACAGCTACCCATAGCTACACATAACCACACATAGCTACACACAGCTACACATAGCTACACATAACCACACATAGCTACACACAGCTACCCATAGCTACACATAACCACACATAGCTACACACAGCTACACATAGCTACACATAACCACACATAGCTACACACAGCTACCCATAGCTACACATAACCACACATAGCTACACACAGCTACACATAGCTACACATAACCACACATAGCTACACACAGCTACCCATAGCTACACATAACCACACATAGCTACACACAGCTACACATAGCTACACATAACCACACATAGCTACACACAGCTACCCATAGCTACACATAACCACACATAGCTACACACAGCTACACATAGCTACACATAACCACACATAGCTACACACAGCTACCCATAGCTACACATAACCACACATAGCTACACACAGCTACACATAGCTACACATAACCACACATAGCTACACACAGCTACCCATAGCTACACATAACCACACATAGCTACACACAGCTACACATAGCTACACATAACCACACATAGCTACACACAGCTACCCATAGCTACACATAACCACACATAGCTACACACAGCTACACATAGCTACACATAACCACACATAGCTACACACAGCTACCCATAGCTACACATAACCACACATAGCTACACATAGCCACACATAGCTACACACAGCTACCCATAGCTACACATAACCACACATAGCTACTCAAAGCTACACATAGCCACACATAGCCACACACAGCTACACATAACCACACATAGCTACACACAGCTACACATAGCTACACATAACCACACATAGCTACACACAGCTACCCATAGCTACACATAACCACACATAGCTACTCAAAGCTACACATAGCCACACATAGCCACACACAGCTACACATAACCACACATAGCTACACACAGCTACACATAGCTACACATAACCACACATAGCTACACACAGCTACCCATAGCTACACATAACCACACATAGCTACACATAGCCACACATAGCCACACACAGCTACACATAGCTACACATAACCACACATAGCTACACACAGCTACCCATAGCTACACATAACCACACATAGCTACACATAGCCACACATAGCTACACACAGCTACACATAACCACACATAGCTACACACAGCTACCCATAGCTACACATAACCACACATAGCTACACATAGCCACACATAGCTACACACAGCTACACATAACCACACATAGCTACACACAGCTACCCATAGCTACACATAACCACACATAGCTACACATAGCCACACATAGCTACACACAGCTACACATAACCACACATAGCTACACACAGCTACCCATAGCTACACATAACCACACATAGCTACACATAGCCACACATAGCTACACACAGCTACACATAACCACACATAGCTACACACAGCTACCCATAGCTACACATAACCACACATAGCTACACATAGCCACACATAGCTACACACAGCTACACATAACCACACATAGCTACACACAGCTACCCATAGCTACACATAACCACACATAGCTACACATAGCCACACATAGCTACACACAGCTACACATAACCACACATAGCTACACACAGCTACCCATAGCTACACATAACCACACATAGCTACACATAGCCACACATAGCTACACACAGCTACACATAACCACACATAGCTACACACAGCTACCCATAGCTACACATAACCACACATAGCTACACACAGCTACACATAGCTACACATAACCACACATAGCTACACACAGCTACCCATAGCTACACATAACCACACATAGCTACACACAGCTACACATAGCTACACATAACCACACATAGCTACACACAGCTACCCATAGCTACACATAACCACACATAGCTACACACAGCTACACATAGCTACACATAACCACACATAGCTACACACAGCTACCCATAGCTACACATAACCACACATAGCTACACACAGCTACACATAGCTACACATAACCACACATAGCTACACACAGCTACCCATAGCTACACATAACCACACATAGCTACACATAGCCACACATAGCTACACATAGCTACACATAGCTACACATAACCACACATAGCTACACATAGCTACACATAGCTACACATAACCACACATAGCTACAGACAGCTACCCATAGCTACACATAACCACACATAGCTACACATAACCACCCATAGCTACACATAGCTACACATAGCTACACATAACCACACATAGCTACACATAGCCACACATAGCTACACATAACCACACATAGCTACACATAGCCACACATAGCTACACACAGCTACCCATAGCTACACATAACCACACATAGCTACACACAGCTACCCATAGCTACACATAACCACACATAGCTACACACAGCTACCCATAGCTACACATAACCACACATAGCTACACACAGCTACCCATAGCTACACATAACCACACATAGCTACACACAGCTACCCATAGCTACACATAACCACACATAGCTACACACAGCTACCCATAGCTACACATAACCACACATAGCTACAGATAGCCACACATACCCACACATAGCTACACATAACCACACATACCCACACACAGCTACCCATAGCTACACATAACCACACGTAGCTACACACAGCTACCCATAGCTACATATAGCTTCACACAGCTACCAATAGCTACATATGGCCACACACAGCTACACATAGCTACACATAACCACACATAGCCACACACAGCTACCCATAGCTACACATAACCACACATAGCTACACATAGCCACACATAGCTACACATAGCCACCCATAGCTACACATAACCACACATAGCTACTCAAAGCTACACATAGCCACACACAGCTACACATAACCACACATAGCTACAGACAGCTACCCATAGCTACACATAACCACACATAGCTACAGACAGCTACCCATAGCTACACATAACCACACATAGCTACACGTAGCTACCCATAGCTACACATAACCACACATAGCTACACATAGCCACACATAGCTACACATAACCACACATAGTTACACATAGCCACACATACCCATACACAGCTACCCATAGCTACACATAACCACACATAGCTACACATAGCCACACATAGCTACACATAACCACACATAGCCACATAACCACACACAGCTACCCATAGCTATACATAGCCACACACAGCTACACATAGCTACACATAACCACACATAGCTACACATAACCACACATAGCCACAAAGCCACACACAGCTACCGATAGCTACACATAGCCACACACAGCTACACATAGCTACACATAACCACACATAACTACACAAAGCTACACATAGCTACACATAGCCACACACAGCCACACATGGCTACACATAACCACACATAGCTACACATAGCTACACATAACCACACATAGCCACACATAGCTACACATAGCCACCCAAAGCCGCACATAGCCACGAAGTCTCCCAAAATTTTTTTTCAGTTTTGTCTAAAAATAAGGGGGGGGGGGAGGCCCTCCCCTGTATTTGCCACTGTGTATGTGCTTACAGATTGTTCCTGTGACTGGTGAATCTGGACAGTTGCATTTGAACATGTAAGAGCAAACTTTGCAGTCAGAACATATTAGTTCGGCATTTCTTGCAATTAATGTGACTGCGTGATGCAGTTAAGCCTTAATGTGTTGCTTGTGATGGACTGCCTGACTGCCTGACGCAGTTCACAAGTCCAACCCACAAAAATTACCCTTGCTCGCCAACAAGTCCTCAGTAGCTCAGAGGTTAAAGCATCTGATCTAGAACAGGGAGGGTTGTGGGTTCAAATCTCATCTGGGGCTCAGATTTTTTCTGTCCTCTTATGGTTGATTCTTTACATCTCCCTTTACTTCCTTTATAATACTAATATCAGTGGCACACATATGTGTAGCTATGTGCAGCTATGTGTGGCTATGGGTGGCTATGTGTAGCTATGAATGGCTATGTGTAGCTGTGTAGCTATATGCAGCTACGGGTTGCTATGTGTGGCTATGTGTAACAACGTGTGGCAATGTATAGCTATGGGTGGCTGTGTGTAGCTCTTTGTGGCTATGTGTAGCTAGGTGTAGCTAGGTGTGGCTACGAATGGCTATGTGTGGTTATGTGTAACTATGTGTTGTGTCGGGGACTGGGGCACACATCACGCAATTGTGCAATCCAATTTTAGTTTTAACTACAGGAACATGTAAGTGACCAGAAATATACACCCAACATATGTTGTTAATTGGAAGCGTTGCTTTTCTTAGAGAGTTGTTTTTCATCTGTGATCGTGTGAAGTCCATACAAGAGTTGTGATATTAAAACCGTATAAAACATCTCTGCAACTGGTCTTGGATACTGTCTCCAGCAGCGGGAGAATTCCAGGATAGTAGCTATGGGTGGCTATGTGCACCTGTGGGTGGCTATGTGTGGGTATGTGTAGCTATGTGTAGCTAAGGGTGGTGGGTCTTCGTTTTCTACACAATCCCCCTGGTGTTTAGAAAACGAAGACCCCCCTCAAAATCACTTAGAAACGGCTGGAAACTGCTTTTAACGACTTCTAGGCACTAAAGTAGTATAAGAAACAACGCGGCTCCTGACGATTTCCAATTATACAAAATTGCGACCAGGGTCTTTTGAGGGGGGTATTCGTTTTCTACACACCGGGGGGATTGTGTAGAAAACGAAGACCCTGGTCGAGATTTTGTATAATTGGAAATCGTCAGGAGCCATGTTGTTTCTTACACCCCTTTAGTGTCTAGAAGTGGTTAAAAGCAGTTTCCAGCCGTTTCCATGTGTTTTTGAGGGGGGTCTTCGTTTTCTACACACCGGGGGGATTGTGTAGAAAACGAAGACCCTGGTTGAAATTTTGTATAATTGAAGATATTGTTGTTTCTTACACATATGAGGTCGAGATACCCGTTTCTAGATATTTATAAGTGATTTTGAGGGGGGTCTTCGTTTTTGGGTGTTAGGTCTTCGTTTTCTACCCACCCCAATGAGTTTTGCTTCTCACTTCGTCGAAGAATTTGCTTAGGGCGCGGGATATGTTTGCCGAAAGTGCGTTTCAGTTCGCCTTTTTACCGTCAAAACCTTACTTTTATCCAGGAATCAACTTTCAATGAATGCTGCAGTGAGACAAATCCAGAATTAATTTGGCGCTTTTCCATCGAGTTTCAGCTCTGTACGTCGATCGGCCGTTGAATCTAATTTGAGTGCCGTGTTTTTCTTTTTTATTGTCCGTCTGGCGACCGAAATATTGCTAAATATGCTTTGCAATACGCATTTCAAGAATCAAATAGGACAATGAAATTAGAAAAAGAAGAAAACAAGACATAATGAAGCAGGACTGCTCAAGACGGGATATTCTTTCGGCTTAACGTGAGTGCAACACCGAATTTCGCGAGAGTTTGCGCGATACGTATTTCTAGTTAAGATGTTTCTTAAATTAGGCGCTATGTGACGAAGGTATTGCTGCTTTAGGGGGAAAAAATCTATCAAAAGAAAAATAGCAAACTTCAGTCAAAATGTTTTGCTGTTTGATCCAATAACTAAGGCAAAAATTTACCAGGCGTTTTGAAACTGAAAGAAGACGAAGTACCACTATACGAGGGCTTATAAAAACTGCAACCATGCGAGCCCGATTCATACAAGTCTAATAAAACCCATCCGCCTAAGGCATCAGCTAACAGTAACAACGGAAACCAGAATGGAATTGTTATTCCGGAAGTACGAATGCCCACAGTCACACAACCTAGCAGCCCCTTGACCACGGAGGGAACCTTTTGTGGTATGAAAAACGAGGATCAAAATCCACCAACCCGGCATCAGCGAGGATTGAAATACACCAATCATTATCACTTTCCTCCTTGCCACTTACAGCCCCGCACAACCAATCAACACCATCACCTGTTAAAGACCAGGAAAACACGGTCGAAACGTCTCAATCAGCAAAAAAGTGGCTATCCGTTAGAAAAACGGTAAACGAACCTACATACACAAAGCACGATGAATATCATTCATGGCAATAAAAAGAACTATTACTTGGTAGACGAACACCTGTTCACACTCAGTATCACCCGTATAAGATAACAAGGGAAATAGTCCGTCAAATTAAACATATTAGGTACACATTCACTAGTTACTTCTGAGCATAACTATGTTATATGTTATATGCTTATCTACAGCTTCTAAATTTCTTTCAGCTCCGAAAATCTCGTGGCAATGAATAGGCGGCGACCAGAGCCACAGGTACAATAGAGATATGAATCTCATATTTGAGTCATTTATATAATAAAGTAGTCAAGACGCAACACGATTTAAAGGCGGACAAGGATATAATCCATGCTATCAGTGATTCCTCTGTGCCGTTGAAAACCAAAGCTCTCTCCACACACAACCGTTTTTGTTTGAAAACGGAGAGTTCTCTTCTCATTTTTCAAACAAAGCCGCGTCCACACGTTGCGTCTTTTAATCATTTTTGCCCAACCACATAAAAACGCAATAGTGACTGACAACGGTACCATCTTTGATGGGAGCATGCGCATTTACTGGAATCCAACACTGTGACGTAAGAGGCTCTTTGTATGACTTGATCACTTGCTCAACTTTCGGTAAACACGAAAACAGTTCACTTTTGAAAAAGTTTGTTAACACCAGCTGAAGGAGCATATTA